AAACGGGTCGGTGCGAATACGTGTACCGTTACACCCCTAATATATATATATATATGAATTGTATAGTATGTGTACAGTGCAACAGCAAATAGCTCTTTTACATTTTAGAGAAGTCAAGTTGCATAACCGAACAGGACCACATGGTGATGCCAACAAATCCCTAAACCAACCACCGGCTGCATATATGTACTACAGTACATGGATCCGTTCCGTTCCGTATAACTAAACACCGCAACATAAACATGACAAATCAAAACATTATCGCAAATGTGTGTGGAAACAACGTGAATGTACGGAAATGTCTGTGCCTGTGCATTAATACCATGTGAAAAAAACCCTAAACCAACCGCCTGCTGACAGCATATATCTACTACAGTACATGGATCCATTCAGTATAACTAAACACAGCAAATCAAAATATTATCTTAAATGTGTGTGGAAACAACGTGAATGTACGGAAATGTCTGTGCCTGTGCATTAATACCATGTGCAATCAGTGCATCAAGAGCACTCATACACGCATTAATATAACAGACTCATGCGTGCTTACTGTACGACTCCTGTACGCCACCGCAATCGTCTCGTCTTTACCTTGATTGCAGTTTTCATCCATCAAAACTTTACTAGCGAGACTGATTATCCAGTCGAGAAAACGTAGTTTGTGGCTCATCTGGTCATACAGCGGTGGGATGCGTTGACAATCCGTTCAGTCTGTACTTCACACAGCGTGACGTGTGAGGGCTCGCGCTCTTCAGAGACAATCACAGAATATGACAGAGTTCGTGTTTTAAAGCGAAACACACTGGAATGAATAATTCACTTAAAACGCAACGCGAGTCTCTGCAATCTCTGATGTAATCAGCCTGGTTTCCTTTATATTAGTGCTGTTTTGGACGGATTGTTTGAATGCATTCACTTACTGGATCATTGGACTGAAAACTTTCCCGGAGTTTAGCGGCTTAAAATAATCTAATTGCAAGCACTCATACACGCATTATTATAACGGACTCACGCTTGCTTGCTGTACTGTACGACTCCTGTACGCTACCGCAATCGTCTTTACCTTGATTGCAGTCTTCATCCATCAAAACTTTACTAGCGAGACTGGTTATCAAGTCGAGAAAACATAGTTTGTGTCTCATCTGGCCATACAGCGGTGGGATGTGTTGACAAACCGTTCAGTCTGTACTTCACACAGCGCGATGTGTGAGGGCTCGCGCTCTTCAGAGACAATCACAGAATATGACCGTGTTTAAAAGCTTGTGTTTAAAAGCGAAACACTGGAATGAATAATTCATTGAAAACGCAAGGTGAGTCTCTGTTCTCTCTGCAATCTCTGGTGTAATCAGCCTGGTTTCCGTTATATTAGCGCTGTTTTGGACGGATTGTTTGAATGCATTCGCTTACTGGATCATTAGACTGAAAACTTTCCCGGAGTTTAGCAGCTTAAAATTATCTAATCACAAGCAGAGAAGCAACAGTAATTTTGTGTTAACTGCATTAAATTATTTTAACTCGTTAAGGATTGTAAAATTAATCGCATGCATTAACGAGTTAACGTTGACGGCCCTCCCGCTCTCTCTCGTGAAGCCAACACGGAAGTGACTTAAACTGTAATTCGTCAACTGGCCGCTAGAGGCTGGCTGCAAACGGGAGTCAATCCCATAGACTCCCCATGTTAAAATGCCCAACTTTACAGCAGAAAAAAACGGTACTGGAAAAAGTGGTATCGGTGCATCCCTATTTTAAAGCGAAACACACTGGAATGGATAATTCCCTGAAAACACAATGTGAATCTCTGTTCTCTCTGCCATCTCTGATGTAATCAGCCTGTTTTCCTTTATATTAGCGCTGTTTTGGATGGATGGTTTGAATGCATTCGCTTACTGGATCATTGGACTAAAAACTTTCCCGGAGTTTAGCAGCTTAAAATTATCTAATCACAAGCAGAGAAGCAACAGTAATTTTGTGTTAACTGCATTAAATTATTTTAACTCGTTAAGGATTGTAAAATTAATCGCATGCATTAACGAGTTAACGTTGACGGCCCTCCCGCTCTCTCTCGTGAAGCCAACACGGAAGTGACTTAAACTGTAATTCGTCAACTGGCCGCTAGATGCTGGCTGCAAAAGGGAGTCAATCCCATAGACTCCCCATGTTAAAATGCCCAACTTTACAGCAGAAAAAAACGTTTACAGCCTGGTTAAAAAAATGATTTTGGTCTATATAGCTAATTTTGCCCTTCATGACAGCTGTGAGGGGGGTGAAGTTTTTTTATAACTCATCCGTTTAAATTATATTAAGCCTTAAAGTTCTGCATAATTAAGGGCGTGGCCACTTGAGTGACAGGTGGATTGCCGCTGCTGTCACCACCGTCGAGCTAGGTGGGCGTGGCTTCAGCAACCAACTCCCACCTTTTTGCCCATTTTCGATTATCCGGGAGTGACACGCTGCCAAGATGGCGACGGCCCGCTCCGCCCACTTTGAGCTTCAAAAACGCTCTTCAGAAAACTACGGGTGACGTCACGGACACTACGTCCATGTTTTTATACAGTCTATGGTTATAATGCGCAACACTGTAAAAACGCATAAAAAATCATGGCGCAACACTGAGCAGATCTAAATTTAATGCTGTGGTCAACA